GTGCAGTTTGTAACACAGTGCAAGTACTTTACATGTTGCATTCTCAGAACTGCCACAAGGGGTGCTATAGCACGCATTAGCATGAACTTCCGTTTTCTATGGTCACTTTTTTCTTTTAGGTCAACTGCTGTCATGGTGGGGCAGTAAAAAGAGAATTTAAGTTAGTTAAACTGTTAAAAGTTACCTACCTGAACACTAACACGTATGGTTTTATGGCACAGACAGTATTTGAAGGTAACTATTATCGTAGAGTATAATGAGAAGCTCACTTGTAATGTATTGATGACATATTTGTGTCTACGTTTGCATAAGGTTCGTTTCTGGCCTCGATCCTGAGGTGCAGGATCCCACTACATAGACTCACTGAAGGTGCTGTGTGGAGAGAAAGGGTCCTGTTGTGTATTTGAGCCTTTATATTAATATATTGTTTGTTGTTTGGTCAGCTCCTGTATATGTGTGTGTATAAAATATGCGCACATGACGTGTTTGTCAGGGTTAACATGACAGTCATAAAATAACCTGTGTACTGTATTTTCACACGACTGAAAATAATGAATAAGGCAATGTCAGTGTGATGTAATGAGATGAAGTTTGGTTGGTTACCTGTTCATAAAGTTGATGCACATAATGTCTGTTTCCTGAAATCTTCCATGCTACTGAATTCCCCTTGTTTCGGTGTTCTTCACGTCTCTCACCTCTTGGTTGTTTTGCCCTCAGACTTCGTCATCTGGAGCTGTGCAGTGTTGCAGCATGTCTATGTTTAGAACGATTTCCCCAAAAAACAATATATGTGGAATAAAACAATTCAACAACCAGTTGTCAGTGTTTGCCCTTTTTGTATTCAAATGAATGTAATAACTAAACTCTTATTGTTGTAAAAAGAAAAAAGTGGACAGGACTCCCACAACTTCGAACTTCCATGATTATGAGATTTAACAGCATAAAAAGAGTTAAAGGATAAATCAAATAGATGTGAATCCAAATTGAAATAACCAATTTGGTTTTATAATAATCATCATAAAAATGCATTGGTAACACTTTAGAATAGGGAACACTTATTCACAATTTACTAC